ATAGTAGATCTATGCAGGTAGACTCCTAATTTTCGCATACAAATATATATTTCAAGAAAAACATTAATTCAATATTATATTGCTTGATTTATCTGATTATTTTTTTTACATGTCAAAATGTGACGTTTTCCTTGTTTCAACCAATATCAATGCGTGATTCTAGCCAATCATTCGGAATCATACTGATAATTTGTTAGTATCAAATTACCGCGATGACTTATTCACGTTTGGATCTTCCTTCAAATGGATACAAAAAGGGACCCATAGACTGCGATGTTGATAGGCTGTTTTGTTCGACTAACAAGTCTGTTCGAACAAAAATTGCGCACAACCGAAGTGTGTGGCTGTAAAATGTTCGTTTTCGCTGGCCACACACTTTAGTTTTGTGTCTTTTTTGTTCGAACAGACTTGTTCGACGAACAAAACGGCCTACCAACAACGCAGTCTATGGGGCACCTTTAGAGAATTAGCATTGACTTGACTTGGTTGTCAAGGTAACGCAGCTATTTGTCTCAATGTAAACATTTCGAATTCAGAACCGACGCCATTGTTAAGTATCAGTCAGACTTCGTATTTTGTGATTTTCTCTAACGTTTAAACGAGTTGGTATAGGTTCGGAAAAACTTTACAATTATTATTAGTCATTAACAGAAACCGACATGAGCACGAGATTTGGTCAAAGCTCGGCTGATTCAATACATTTAGCTGTCGAACAAGCAACACCAATCAACACCACAAAAAGCAAGAATACGATATGGAAACAGTTTTTGGAGTTCTGCCTTGAACGTAATTATGAGTTGACTGCAACAACCGAGATGAAACAAATCGCATCAATTATGGAGGACTGGGCATATAACATGCGAAAAAAAAATGGAGAAAACTACAAAGAATCTGTTGTCAAAACTTTGTGGAATGTCACCGCAAAACTTATCCAGGAAAAATATTTCAGGGAGTATAATAGAAACATTGATCCGTTCACTGATATTGAATTTAAGACCGCGCGAGATGCGCGGAATTGCAAACGTCGAGAACTTCAACATATTCCTGAAAAAAGAAAAGCATCTTCTGTTGCTCTCAAGAAAGAAGAAATAGAAAAAATGATAGCAGCATGGGACGAAAATACTCCAAATGGCTTACAAAGGAAGTTTTATCATACTGCTAGCTACGAATTGGCTTGGAGAGGCGGAGAAGCGACAAAAGCATTAGTACAGTATTTTAGAGAAGAAATGGATCATTATGGAAATCAAACTGGAAGGATAGAATATAATCCAATAATTTCTAAAACAGCACAAGGAGGATCGCACAGGTTATCTGATAGCAAATTTTTAACGCCAAATGAAAATGAGACTGAAAAATGTCCAGTACGTCTCTTTCGGAAGTTAATGTCGAAAAGAAGTGCAAATATTCAAATTGATCGTTTATTTTTAACACCTAATCCAAATTGGCAGCAACCTTTGTCTAAGGGGTGGTACAAAAATCTTCCGGTAGGACAAAATGAAATAGCAAAATGGACAAAACAAGCGGCCCGAAAGATTGGCTTGGATCCTAGCAAAATCAAGGTTACAAACCATTCACATCGTTCTTCTGCTGTGACACAACTCGCTAAAAGTGGAGTAAGTGAGCAGCAGTTGTTGAAGATAACTGGACATTCATCTGCAAGCTCCATCAAACCCTATCTTCAACTTGACAAAGAGCATCACGCAAGCATGATAAACAACTTGAGAGGAAACACTGTTTCGACCTCTTCATCTCAAGGAAATTGTACAATAACATACAATAATTGCACCATTACAAACGTAAATTGTAAACATTCTTGATTGTTTGATATATAATTATTTGATATATAATTGTTTGATATATAATTGTTTGATATATAATTGTTTGATATATAATTGTATGATAAATGATTGTTCAATAAATAATTGTTTAATAAACATATTCTGGGGCATTTTGCGAAATAGTAAAAAAAATAATCACGCCGAATTACATTCGTGTTGGTTATTTTTTTAAATAATTTTAACTAGATTTAGCACTCGTCTTTGTTGCTATTGAGAAATCCCACTCGTGGACTTCGTCCACTCGTGAAATTTCTATAGCAACAAAGATTCGTGCATCTAGTTAAAATTATCAAAAAATTACCACCACTTGTGTAATTACTGTTGAAAATATTAAGTCACCCACCACCACAGCGCACGACGACCTGATAGGGTAAATTATTCTTACCTAGCGTATCGATCGTCTAGTGGGATAGGAATTATAGGAAATTATGTTTAAAACTTAAGCAAACACCGGGATCGCGCGTACGCAAATCCCGACTACCAAAAATTAAACGCCCGATTTATCCACATTAGGGATAATCGCAGGGGTCAGACCAACCAGGGTGCAATGGAAGGTCCTCGACCTGGGGGAACCGCCTTCATGATCACGGTCTCCCCTGCGCCAAGTAAGTATGATTTACACAGGCACCGGCAAGTATTTAAAAACTCACAGAGATACGTTGTGGGCGACGCGAAAGTGGCGCACTGATGGCGACCTCTAACGGCAGTAGCGAAAAGCAGATATTGATGCTGATGTAACACACCACAGTTCCTCCAAAACAAATATCAAATCATACGAATACAAATAGAGACAGACGTATAGGTAGGTACCTATTATTTGTGAAGGCATAATAGGTTACTTGTTTGAAATTGCAGCAAATGGTATTGCAAATAATGCAAATATTTGTACAGGTTTTATCAATCAGTTATATATACCTATTATTCAATTTATCAGCTTGACGATTTTGCAAGTGTTCGTTGAACATAGCTCTTGTAACCCTCATTGTTTCATGTATTTAAATAATAATGAGTAGAGCGTTTTCATTTATTACTACTTATATAGGTATATATAGACATACAGCATACAGGGTGACAAATTGAAATCGACCAGCACTCAATAATTCTTCACAACTAATGACACTATGAAAATTTTTGTCGAAAAACGTAAATTTACATATCAAGGGGGACATTGTGAGGTATACTTATTATTTGTTGATATACAATGTGACCCACTTCTAATGGAAACACCCCTGTATCTCACGTAATCGTTGGGTAAGGATCCTGAAATTTGCTGGAGCAAGAGATATACCAAAAATGCACTCTATGACCACGTGGGGTCATCTTCAGTGATATACACTGCTCGCCAACAGTCATGTAAGCACCCCAATTTTCGGAAAATGATATTAGGAGTGAAAATAGGTTGAAAATAACTTTGAATTCGGAATCAGGACACCCAATTCACTAACTATGCATGGTTTTCCTAGAAAATGTACAGTTCTGAAAAGTTGAATTTTATCGCACTTTTTACGGAAGCCCTCCGTAGGTATCTCACGTAATTATAATAATAATAAAAAGTTTCTGAAAGCTCGTTTCATTGACTATCGAATCTATGTATATGACTATTTCATCTTTTCCGGATGAGATTCTACAGGATGATAATCAAAGTTGTGCATTTTTCCAAAAATTTCAAACGCCTCCCGTTTGAAAGAAAAATTTTTCTATTTTCAAAAACATATTGCTTCATATGTTTTCTCGACTGTAGAAACATTTTCGGAATGATCACGCATAATTTGATGCTCTTATTTCTATTGACTTTGTGTTCCTATCAATCTGGTTCGCACGGTGGTCGAAAATCTTGTATTATTATATACAGGGTGGTCTATTTGCTTGTTGAGAATTCATGTGTTATTGAATTTTCATACTTTTCATGTTCACTTCAATGATAAATTCAATTAAACGTGCGAGTGATGTGATTTGAACTGGTGTTATTGATGGAAAATCATAAAACTGGAACATTGTGACTGTGATGGATTTCAGTTCATGTTTTTTCTGAGTCAGGACATTACATATCCATATGTGACTCACGTCTGCCATTCTTTTAAATATCGACAAATATTCAATATAAGTCATTTGTGAAGACGTTCACCGCAAATGAAATCACAATTGTGATGAATTCTGTCAGTTGAATGGTATGTCTCGGCAGCAACAATTTCTATTTATACGACATCCTGTATATTTCTTCAGTCTATCTCATTTTCCTTGAAATTATCTTCTAAAAATCTATCACAAAGGGCATGATGAGAACGACGCTCTGAAAATCCGGTTTTTCTGACCATTTCAGTGGTTTGATCTTGCAGTAGATTCTGTAGCACCTTGACATGTTGATGACAACCTCTCCTACACACTTTGATCGCCAGAAAACTTCTCCATCGGTTTCCTGCTTCGAAATTTTCTAGCTCGTCAAAACAAGATTTTTTTTTTCATTACTTGATGTCATAATTGTTGTTTGAGGACCCCCCTGTATACAAGAATAGGTTGATCATGCATCATTTCAAGATTTTTGACCACCATTCGAACCAGATTGACAGGAACACAAAGCCAATATGAATTATAGCATTCATATTTCAGTAACGCGTGGGACAATTCCAAAAATGTTTTTACAGTATCGGGGAAACATATGAAGCAATATGTTTCTGACCACAAAAAATAATAGAAACATTTTTCTTTCGAACGGGAGGCGTTTGAAATTTTTGGAAAAATGCACAGCTTTGATTATCATCCTGTATAGAATCTTATCCGAAAAAGATGAAATAGTCATATCCGTAGGTTCGATAGTCAATGAAACGAGCTTTCAGAAACTGAAAAATAATTGGAAATCGGTTGAGGGAATCGAAAGTTATGATGATTCAAATTTGATAAAAAAATGCGATTTTACTTTCATTCATTATCAGTCCGCACTTACCTATTTGGGACACCCTGTACATTTAATGACGGTCTGATCTAAAAACCAGCGAAAGAAAGTAATCTCGCTGATGATCATTCACAGACGCTCTCCTACCAAACTCAAGGATTCAAAGCAGTTTGGAGGGAACTCCATACCAGCACACGCTGTAAACTTGGCCCCTCAAAACCATTCGAATGCTCGACTCAAGTTTCAGTCCAAGTCACCTTTGATTAGGATTTACCTCGTACGGGGGGGTTAGCCTGATCGGCAAAAAGTTCGCGATTCGAAAATTAATTAGAGAAAATGCCTCCACACCAAGAAAAGGTTCCTTGTAGCACCCCCGAATTGGACACCAGTGGATACGACAATGGGGCATTCGTGGGGGAATCGTCGCCGGAAAAAAGTGAAAATGCGGTTTCGGAAAATGAGAAAAACGATTCGTTCGAGTTTGATGATTTGCTGCCGTATATTGGAGAGTTTGGGATTTACCAGAAGATTTTGTTTGTGTTGATGATACCATTCGCGTTTTCTGTGGCTTTCGTGTATTTCGCCCAAATTTTCATCACGATTGTGCCTGAGCATTGGTGTTGGGTACCAGAGTTGGCCAATCTGACTGCAGAACAAAGGTATAAAGATAGATGTATGAACAGTGATTCTGAGAACGTTCCTAGAATATTCTCAAATAAATTAATGGGTTAAATCAACCAAGAAGACCATATGAAAATAAGCCTACATATCGTTTAATAATTATATCAAGCAGCAAACAATAGTTGATACGTAGTCACCATACATATTGAATTGTTGTTTCAATAAAAAAAAATTTGTTATTAACCAGTTTTTAGTCTCACAACAAAATGAGTGCGTGTTTGTTCCTATACTTCTATTGATTATTTTTCAGTTTCTGGTACCACTGGATTGTATGAAAACAATTCATTTTTGTTGACAGGATAAATAATGCAGATTTTGAATAAACAAGTTTATTCATCACATCAAATCTTCGACATGTAAAGTTTGTAACAAAAAATAGAATAAACAATTTCTTCTTCAACAGAAGTAACATTGTAGAATACTTCTTTTCTCTTCATGTATCGGAGTCCAATTCAACCTAAAAAACTTATCTTCATTATATTTTTTTCCATAAAATTGTTCTTTACCAAAACAAATTCATCTATAGGTGTTCAATTGTAGCCAACTTTGCAAAATATCTATACAGTATAAGTTTCTCAATTTGTGATTTCTCGTCTCCGTAATTTGAATGTATATATATCCTTCTAAGTTGATGTTCGATGATCATACTCAATTGCAACCACAGTTTTTCATCTTCTTCCTGCAAGAAATTTGTAGAATTGAAAAACATTGAATGAATTCTTGAATGATATACTTACCCACCATCATATAATTTCAATCATCTGATGAAAGAGAATTCCGAATTTTCCCAATCTTTTTGTATGGTTCTGGAACTTGTCATATACAACCTTCCTGGCTTTGATCATTTCGTATAACTGTGTTTTTTCCTCCAAATTAACTCTAATATATACTGGAGATTTTGTACGTCGTTGAATTTTTTCAAATTTTTTTTTTACGTTCTGATTCCCACGAAAAGGGATATCCCGTAATGGTCAGAGAACATCGTGAGAACCAAGGGAAATAAGGTAGGAATTCTTAAATTTCTGGAGGTTATATGCCTCGGGGAACAACTCCCTTGGCAATGTGTTCCAGAGCCTCGCTGTTCGTTGGATGAACGAGTCTTTGGAAAGAGATGTTCGGCAGGTCTCCAAAGTGACCACGAAGGGGTGCGAATCCTCAACTCGACGGGATAATCTCGCGGGGACTGCCAAGGGAGGAACAATTGTTGATATTTCAGAAGAGCATCGTCCATGAAATTTTCTATAAAATAGAGCCAAATCGCCGACTTTTCTACGGTGCTCCATAGAAGTGAGTGAGTTTGTGAGCGAGGCATCACCCACGAGACGAATTGCACTTTTTTGGACAGAATCCAACAGTTTCAGGGTATGTTTGGGTGCTGCACTCCAAATATGGGAACAGTATTCCAGGATGTGTCAGATCTGTGCCTTATAGATCATAAGCAGCTGACTGGAGAAAATAAATTCAAAGAAGCCGAAACAATTGTATACCTACATTCTATTTGAAACAGAATTAGGTTAGGTTTCTCTTGATGTTGGCTGATTCGTCTTACACGCAGGGTTCAGAATAGGGTTACTGAATATTTTTCAACTTTTTGAAAGCTCATATGTTTCTGTTTTATTTCAACGAAAATTTGAATCTATATAGACGGAGTCCGCGGAAAGACAAGCTCTTCAAGTCGGAGTTCCATTCATATTTGGAGAGATCTGTCAAGAGATATTTCATAAACGAAATTTGTTGAAGATAATTGGAATTGAATATCATACTCGTACTCAATGTAATTATTACAAATTATAGTGACAGTATATGTTCTTTATACAAATTTCTAATCATAGAGGAAATATCTCGATGTAAGTAATGATTCCCTGATTAAAGTGGAAAATCATAGTTAATATACACAGAAAATTATTGTGGATTAATAAGTTTGGAATTAGCTAAATAAAGAAAAAATCGCTTGAATAGAGACTATACGCATTTATGTGATAATTGTAGTTTATTCGTGTATACGAATTATAAGTAAACACAGTTTTCAACAACTATACCGGGTGTCCCAGTATACCTGTTCCAATGAATTATCTCAACCATTTCGAAAAATAAAGATTCGAAGATTTCATGATCTCTAATTCGTTCAAGGAAGCTTCAACTGAGAAAAGCAAAAATTGAAAGTCACTTCCGGTTTGAACGGAAGTGACTCTAACTTTACTATTTCAAATACCATCCTGTATATACCACGGTATATGTATAAGCGCACCACTGCGATGAATTTAACCGACGCACTGTATACAAACCCTTTCTGTGATATATTTTTGAATCCAGCTTCTCTTAGAGATTCCAAAACTCAAATAATGGTGTGCTGCATTTTAAAAAATGTCCCGGACGTCATAATTCAAACGTGGATCACACTATATATTTAATTTTTTCCGATTTTTTCTTATAAAGTTGCATATTGAGATTGAAAATCGGACTGTTCCATCAGGAGATTCCTCAGTAATTGATAGTTTGGCTGAATATGAATTCATATACAGATTCGTATACAGATTCTAGGAACAAATATAGTAAAAAAACTTATTATATCGATGAACACAAAAAAATGGATATATATATATAAAGAAATACATTGAGAATTCGAATTCTCCATGTATTGAAAATATTAATTCTTTCCCATGTTATTCAACAGAAAGAGACTACTTTCCTGGCTATTTGCCACGACGAACATTGATTTACATCTATTGACCACACACGATAAGAATTTGAAAACAAAATCTTCTGAAGTAGAGAATTTGCATTCTCCTTCATATAACATCATTCTGAATATTCAACAGAAAACAACTACTTTTCTAGCTATTTGCCACGTCGAACATTGAATTATATCTATTCAATATCCAAAAAGAGAGCATGAAAAATCAAAATCATCTGAAATTGAGAATTGACATTATCTCTCAAATATTATGATATATTATGATATATTATGATATATTATGATATATTATGATATATTATGATATATTATGATATATTATGATATATTATGATATAGTATGATATATTATGATATATTATGATATATTATGATATATTATGATATAAAAATATAACTTACTAATATGTTCAGTTATATTTTTATATCATAATATATCATTCACCCGAGTTTTGTTTGCGAGGTCTGCTAGTATATTGACTATATTCGATCTTCAAGCCTTTCAAGTGCTGACAGTATATAATCCACCTGTTTTCTGTTTTAAATAGATTTTTCTCATGGATGAGTGACCATTTTGCACATGCACACACAGCCCGATGACTGGAAACTCCTCGGAAAATACCTCGGAAAATTCAATTTCCCGATACATATTTCTACCCCAACAGACAGTTCGACCAACGCGTATCATGTGAATACACGTCGAATAATAGGGGTGAATTTTCATCGTCATACATTTTGAAAATGACACGGGATAGGGCTAAAATAGTGAAACACAAAAACAAATTCGTGAACGAAACCAAGAAAAAGTTCAATTTGCAGAAGGCCGATCCTGATTTATTGACTTTTGATGATTTACTTCCGTATGTGGGCGAGTTTGGAGTTTACCAGAAAGTTTTGTTTTTCCTGATGATCCCTTTTTCCATATCGGGAGTTTTTGTGTACGTGTCCCAGATGTTTATTACGATTGTCCCGGAACATTGGTGCTGGGTACAAGAGTTGAATAATTTTACAGCGAACGAAAGGTAAATATACAGGGTGTATCTGAATAACACCGAAAAAATTCAAGGGGTGATTCCTAGTGATATTTTAGGAGATAAAGTTCACACGAACATGTGTCCTGACTTGCTTCGTTTTCGAGATACAGGGTATTAATATCTCCATGAAAACTTCCTATTCATTTTTCTAGATACACCCTGTATACATCGTCAAAACGATATTTCAAGAATACATTTTAGAGGAGGAATTTTTTTTTAATTCCCTAGATTTTTTGCGATTTTTTTCTTCTCGTTGCTATAACTGAAAATATGATTATTATTTCAATATACAGGGTGACAATTTGAAAACGAGCAGTACTTTCTGAACATTATATGATGAAAATTTTGCGGCTCGTGAATCTATAAAGGGTGTCCCAAAATTGCTGGGACAAAGAGCTACCACGTGTAATACAAGTCAAAATAAGTTGATTGGACCCAATTTATTTATGTAACAAAATGTATACCGTTTGTCCGTGGAACGAGCTCAAAGTTTACATAGAAGAACACGTTTTTGTAGAGTAAGGAATCCCAAAAAAAATTGTCGAAATGAATATTTCACCTCAAAGATTGAGCAGCAGACAGTATTTTTTTTTTGAAAAAAATAGTAACAATTAGAAAAAAGATGACATGCCCTTAAACTATTTTCAATAATTCCAACTTGAATATGATAAATGAATGTGTATGCGTTACCTGTGTGATCTAAAAATTTGTTCTAAAATTTGTTCTAAAATTTGTTCTATCCGTCATTCGGTTGCCCCCTTACGAGCAACCCTCAAAAGTCTTCGAAAGTCTTGTGCGAGCAAGGAATGACGGGGGCCTTACCTTTTAACGTGTGATCCCAAACACTTAAACTGTATACAGCAGGGTGTCTCGTCGTGAAAACCAAGTCAAAATGATGAGGAATGTATAGATCAAAAGAATGATATCAAAAGGTACCTATACCCTAACTGCTATGATAAAATCTCCTTTATGAAAGTCTGATCGTTTTCCAGATATTTCATGAAAAAATCTACTCTCCAAACTTCTACTAAAAACATTTCTCACACTCGCATCCCGTTTTGAAATGTTCACGGTATTTTTTTTAATACGAAGAATAATCATTCAACAACATTTTCCTAAAAAAATTAATAAGAATCAATCTTTTCGTTTGACGTGGTATATTAATAGCTGACAGAGCCATCCTGTATACATATAAATAAAATCAATAATAAGACAAATAAAAGGTACCATAATATGCTATTTATTTTAA